CCACTTTGACAGTCGGCACTTTATCTTCGCCGCGGCTTTTAATTTCACTAATGACAATTGATGACCGTACACGTTTATGAAAATGGAAAATCGAATGAAACTGAGTTTCCCAACGAGAGTCAAGTCAAGTAGATCCAGTAGCGCGAAGTCCAATGTCAATGTGTTCGATCAATCAGGGGTAATGTGCAAGAAGTTGTCAGTTGTCTGAGAAGGCGGCTTTAAAATCTTAAAAATTAACTTTATTGGAAAAAAAGGAAATTTTGAAGGATGTCTTGATATAGTTAAGGTTAGGAATGTTATTTTTATTATTTATAAAAGCATTAAAAACATAAGAAAATTTCACAAGTTAAATAAAATATTATTTATGTTCCAAAAATTCAAAAAGGTTAAAAAAATACTCTGAACTTTAGAAACTTCTTATTCTGTGATATTAAATTTTAAATTAAATTTTTAAATTCCTAAATGATATTTTCTGAATTAAGAATTAAATTAATTGTTTTCTGATATCCCAATTTTAAAAATATTTAAACTTTAAAATTTCTATTAACTTCTTATTCTGTGATATTAAATTTTAAATTAAATTTTTAAATTCTTAAATGATATTTTCTGAATTAAGAATTAAATTAATTGTTTTCTGATATCCCAATTTTAAAAATATTTAAACTTTAAAATTTCTATTAAAATTTCTATTAAAATTTCTATTAAAATAATTTTTTAAATTAAGTTAAAGTTTTTGATAAGCCTTTAAAATTTATTTCCTAAATTCAATAATTCTAGATCAAGATTTTACATTTAAACTAGGTTTAAATGGATTTTTAACGTACACCTTCCAATTAGCTGGGTTATTGAATAAAATGTGGCACTGCCACACACATTTGGTGAATGCTATTCTCGCGTAGGTATTTCAAGATCGCGGCACTCGTAAATCGCCGACCAGCCCACAAAACACAAAGCGAAAACCCAGAGACAATCGGCGAAACAGGGATGACTAGAAAAGTATGCCAGCAGCGTTTTGCACTCGGTATTGTTGCTGTTCTTCTGTTGCTTCTGCTGCACAGAAGTTGTCATCGTCAATTAGTTTAAAGGCAGTATAAATTTATGTTAACAGCTACCAAACATAATATCCCCCGAGAGTCGAGAGTCGCGGTTGCAAGCGGAGCGAAATCGAAACGAAACGAAACAATTTTCCCTTTTCACCAACATCAACGCGAGCTACCGTTTTCTGCCACTGTTGCAAGTTGCTGATGTTGTTGCAAGTTGCTTTTGATTTTGTGGCTCTGTGTCAGTGTTTTGGGAAGCGCGAGATTTCGTGGCCGTTATAACAGGCCCAAAGAATCCGAATCCAAGGCGGACGTTATGCCTCAATGAAGTCAGAGTCTTTCAGTTGGGGATCGGGAATCGGGGATCCCCCTTTCAAGCCCCGATCTTTGAGAGAAGAAGGCCAATTGGGTCGTGGCTGGGCCTTTGATGTTGTCGCAGTTTGTTAGAATCTGTTGTTGCGGCCAGGAGCCAACAACAATAAGCGAAAAAATTGCACATTGGCTCTGGCGTAGCATTATTTAATGTAATCGATCGTGATGGGTTTGTTCTAATTTGCGGTGATTTTGTTTTTGGCGCTTGTTATAGAACTGAGAGAACCCGAGTGAAAGAGCCAAGCGAAATCCTTTGAAGTTGGTCAACGATTTAGTGTCGTATCTTTTATGGTATATCATAAAAGTTTACGACCCGTGTTTAATTAGTTGGTGGATTGCTGGAGTTGGGACGTGTGTGGCTGAGGTGCCATAAATTGCTTTGGCCCGTCGCATTTTTGCACCGTTTCAAATTATAGTTTAGTAATTGGATTAATGAAATAGATAATCGGATGAGAAAAGCTTTTTGGTTAGATATCCTAAATAATATATGAGCGATTCCTTGTGAAACGTATCGAATTTTTCTTCAAGGTTTTAAAAGGATTTTTCATTTTGATCGCAATAGTAAACCATTTATGTGGGGGTTTAACAATAATTTTATTAATTTAATGATAACTATTTTTTTATAATAGACATAAAAGGCAGCTTTATTTAGAATTTAGTTTCTTTCTATGTATATTACTGGTTCCATGGTTTGTTCTTATTTCCAGTTGCGTATTACAGGCTAATCAGAGCTCGTAGCTGCATTATATACATATGCGAAGACTTTTCTCAATTTCCAGTTGGAAATTGCATGGACAACTAGATGGTAATTGCAGGTGTGCAACATGGTAATGACGACTTTGGCCAGCGGCCTCCTGCATTGGATGGAAGTGGAGCCCCCAATTGGGGGATGATTGGATTGGATGGGTTGGGTTGGGGCGAGATCGGGAATTGCGTTTGGAAGAGGCGGCGACTTCCAGTCGATTATGTTCATTACTATTACAGGGCACTGGTTAGCTATGATCAGATCGGAACACCCATATCATAGCATGACCCAAATTCTAAAGCGGATATAAATATGTAAACATCAAAAAAATCCCTATAAAACATATCATTTTTGTGGGATGTCTGTGGCTTTTATATCTGAACTTAATTCATTCAGAAAAGATACATCGGATACTTTGTAATCCATTATGATATATCAAATATCAGTTCAATGACCTTTGATTGAACCACCTGCCCGCTCTTAACCCCGTTTGATCCGATGCCACTGAAGTCGGCCTGCCAATCGCCTGAATTAAGTAATTTCGATTCCGTCACGTCAGTCGGCAACCCACGCGACGGCAGCTGAGTAGATAATCAAATAAAATGGATTGTTAGTCGGGTTAAAAAAGAAGAAAGAAAAGAAAAGAAAAGCGCCACTCGGGATTCGGATTATTTGCTCTTTTGAATGTCCCCACAAGGGTCAGGGACAACAGGCAGTGAGGTAAACCAAACAAATTGTATCGATGCCTTGCCAATGAAGTGAAAATCGTGATTCGCTAGCCGAAACAGCGGCCTGTAATTTTCACTAATTTCTACACGTTTTGTTTTCCTTCGCTTTGAATTAGCTTGCTTTTTGTTTTGTTAGTTTTGCCCTCGTCAACATTTTGTCGAAATGCTTCCCAAGTAGCTGAAACAATTATGCGAATTAACGGCGCAATTTCAAAAGTCCATTTCCAATTGGCAAAGAGTTCAAATCGATTGCGACTCATTTAAAGTGACGTCACAATCGCTGTGCCGCCAAGAAAGGCAATCTATCCAGAAGGAAAACACAGCCCAAGTGTCCAAGTGCAGATATCCCAGAGTTCCCGGGAAAAACTCCATAACAGCAAATGCATTCTGCATTTTAAAATCACCAAAGGGTTTTTTTTAGCCCAGAACAGTCGCACGTCCCAAGGGAACGTTAGTTGACATTTATGGAATGGGACTTCTGGCTTCTTCGAAGGTACATTTCAGGAGCATAGACAGGAATTAACAGGGGGGGTTGAAATATCTAATTAAATTCCCATTTTTGTATTGTTGATTGTTTTTTACAAAGATCAGGCCTCCACAAATAGAGTAATTTTATTGAACTAATATTACAAGACATTTTATGATTTTTTTTTATAAAAAAAGACCAAATAAAATCCCCTCTGCGGAAAATCCTATCTACGCCCCTCAAACAGTTGATGATACGGCAGACTGCTTGGAACCATCGACGTCTGAACAAGCTCATTTATTCAGCTGTTTTTGTTTCAACCTGGCTGCAGCAGAAATTACTTGAAATGGCATGTAATGAGTCGACTGCTCTTGGTTGCGCTTCTACTTTTTATGCGAGTAGCGAAGGTGGGTATGATGAGTTCCTGGAAAAGTGTTCAACAAGTAGAAGAAAGTTTTATCTATCAATTTAATATACAGATTCGATCGGAAAATTCTCTGCCGCCCATAATTTAGATGCTGGAATTAAAGTGATAACTTAAATAGTATTATTTACATTTGACAATTGTTAAACAAAGTATTATTTATTTAATTGGTCACTAACGTCTCTACCAGTAAAAAGGTAGGGTAGTTTTAAGTCGATTGTATTTCATCCTCAGGCTTGTTTTTCCATGGAAAGCTTACTCGAAGCTTTATTTGCACTTGCGCATGGAGCCCGCCATAACAAAACGGATTTTTGGCGTGCTCTGTCCAACTGGCTCGTTGGTCTAGGGGTATGATTTCCGCTTAGGGTGCGGGAGGTCCCGGGTTCAAATCCCGGACGAGCCCAAGAGAAGGTAATTTTTTTTTATATGAACCTTTTTTTTTTGCAATTCTAGGCTGTGTACGGATCGCTTGACCCTTTATCTGTGTTATACTCAGAGGAATGGATTGCCAGTCTTGTACGCCTCTGCTAAATCTGAACCATTTCTGTAAACATCTTTGTCTCGAACTGATTCCCATTGCCCGAATGGAATTTCATAAAACCCCTTTAAGCTCTCTTCATTTTTTGTTCTTTAAACCACCTCCCAAAAAAGTAAGCAGTTTTATTGCATTATGTTCAACAAACAACATTTAAAAACTTACGATTGTAAATTATTTATTGTCATAGCGCTTATTATTATGAGCAAATATTAAAAACAATTTTAAAAAAAAAACCTTCTTGGGCTCGTCCGGGATTTGAACCCGGGACCTCCCGCACCCTAAGCGGAAATCATACCCCTAGACCAACGAGCCAGGTGATCGAGGCGGTTCCCAAAATCAAAGCCAGTTTCCCACAGCAAATCATCTGCACGCGCGGTAAGCCAAGTAGGCGTTTGGACACGCTACCGGCAACTGGCTCGTTGGTCTAGGGGTATGATTTCCGCTTAGGGTGCGGGAGGTCCCGGGTTCAAATCCCGGACGAGCCCAAGGAAAAGACTTTTTTATTTTTTTTCTCAAATTATAAACATTGCTTATATTTTTTATTTTTGTTGCACAAATAACGACTTACGGGTAAATAATATTAACATTTGTTGTTTTGCCCCTCTTATTTAGTAAGATTAAGATTGCATTAATTTAGGTAAAATATATATTTGATTAATACCAATGGTTAACAAAACAAAAGTAAAATTAAATGATTTATTGTTTGTATTTTCCTTTATATGTATAATGCATTTACATGTATGTAAGCTGAAAACAATTTCGATATATTTAATACAAACGAAACAAAGGGAAGCGAATAAGCTTGATTGACCTATGAACTACATATAAACATAAATAAATGACACATTTTGTGGACATAGAGATTGGATAAACCGTACAGTAGAATAACATACAGATACAATGATAGAATAGATGATAAATACATAAATTTGGCCCAAAATTGTTCTTGTTTTTGTAGCTGTTGATGACGCAGTTGTTGTTGTTACTTTTGTTGTTGGGGGTTAGTTTTCCATTGCTCGACGTCCCTTCCACTTTTTGCATTGGAGGGGGGTGAACAGTCGTTGTTAGCTCAACTCAACTCCATATGAAATCTGAAGCTCCTCTACGCATATTTCACTCGCATGCTACATCACCAACATCATCATCATCATCATTATGATCTCCTCAACCAGTTTTGCGCTCTGTTAGAGAAATGTTACTCGTTTTATGTACATACATCATTTCGGATGTTGTGCCGTTCGATTTTTGTCTTGCATTTGGTTGCTTGGTTTAATTAATATACTTTAAATAATTATAATTATTTAGTTATTATTAGCACTAATTATTCTTTGGTTGTTCCACTGGTTCTGTTTGTTGTTTGCTTGCTCTTGGTTATTGCATTTCGTTTTTCATTTCGATTTGTTCATTGTGCTTTTTCTTCCTGGAGTTCCTGTTGCTGAATGTTAATGACGGCAGCCGTTTTAAACATTTGCTTGTGACTGGGCTTATTTGGATCGGTTGTGGGTGCTGTTTTTGTTGTTAGTTCTGATGATGCTGGTGATGTCTGTGCAGCGGACTTTCTCAAACTCTTGCCAAACGTGGAGCTGCCCCTCAGACCTGTAAAGAAACCGAGGAGAAAAAAGAGAACACACCCAGAATTAGTTTATTTCGGTTTTTATAGGATAGCTAGTTATAACATTTATATGTTTCTATCAAGAGGACTAGAGGGGAGTTAAAGAAGGACGAAAGACAGAAGAAGCAGAGACAGCCGTGATGATAATGATGTGTGTAGAATGTGGAAAGAGGAGTGCGCTGCCCCAGGAGAGAGTATAAAGAGTGGATCGTTTTCTTTTCTTTTTCTTTTACCTTGGAAGCTCAAACGATTCTGATAGATGGCGAATATATCGAAGGGCCTGTAGCATGGCTCGTAGCCATCCTCCAGCCCATCGAGATCTCGATAGAGTAGTGGGGATCTCTCACTCTGATCAGAAGCGTTTGCGGCAGACGCGGGGGAACAGTTTAGCATATGGGAGGGTATCACGAAGAGACTTTGCTCCATTTTCTCGGGTGCTGATCTGGAATCGGCGGTTTCTCTATCGGATTCGGACTCGGAATCGGGATTGGACTCAGTGTCGCTCGAGGCCGCTGTTGTGGTAGTAGTTGCTGTGGTTGTGGCAGTTGTTGCTGTTGCACCCATAATTTGTGGTGCAGGCTTGGTTGTTTGTAGTTTGTGGTGTGTTGTTTGTGTTGTGTGTTTTTTTGTTGTTTATTTTTCATTTTGTTTGGGGATAGTGGAAGATGGTAACAAAGTGGATTAGTTGTTGTCTGCTGTTGTAGTGATCAAGTGTTAGTCACAATTCGTATTCTAATCTATCTAGTGTTAATTAGGGGGTGTTTTTATATGGGCCGTAATGCTAATTTCTTACCTCGCTATCTTCACAATCAGCACCCTCTCGAGCGTCGGTGGTCAGGCCCTGCACGAAGTGAACATCGTTTGATGGATCATCGGAGGCCAAGTGGGCACGAAATTGCTTGTTTCTTTGGGATATCATATAAATTTAATTTAGGAATCATCTTAAATTATCACCAAGATCACCTTACCTCAGCTCCAATTGCTGCATTTGCTGAAAGTGCCTCAGCTTGCTGTTGGCCATATGCAGTTTCTCCTCTAAGGCAGCATTTTCCACACACTTGATGGAGTACTTCTCGGAAAAGGACAGAATTTCCAGACGAAGCTCTCCGAGATCCTCCCTAAATTGGAAAAGGTGTTAAATTAAATATTTTAACAAGAAAGGAAGCTAGCTTCGGCCAGCCGAAGCTTAAATACCCTTGCAGATCATTCCTATTAATTAACAAATCGCAAAAATGTTCAATTAATTTCATTAATTTTCCGATCGTTCCTATGGCAGCTATATAATAATATAATATATATAAAAAATAACATCCCCAAAAGTAGAAGGTGATATTTCAAAAAACACCGAAGCTAGAATTTTTTTAACGTTTTCTTTTCCGATCCTTCCTATGGGAGCTATAAGATATAGTTGTCCGATCCGGTCGGTTCCGACATATATACTACCTGCAATAGAAAGAAGACTTTTGGGAAAGTTTTATCCCGATAGCTCTAAAACTGAGAGACTAGTTTGCGTAGAAACAGACAGACGGACAGACGGACAGACGGACAGACGGACAGACGGTCAGACGGACAGACGGACATGGCTAGATCGACTCGTCTAGTGATGCTGATCAAGAATATATATACTTTATGGGGTCGGAAACGTCTCCTTCACTGCGTTGCAAACTTCTGACTGAAATCATAATACCCTCTGCAAGGGTATAATAATTTATTTTGTTTTTTTTCGACACAATATTAATTAGATTTTCCACTTTTCTACTCACTCCTTCAGTTTGGCTCCATCACCCCGCATTTGCTCGCCTCTTTGGACCTGTCGCAGGAACTCCTGCTTGAATCGAGCCACCTCCCGCTGAACTTCGCTCTGGTGTGCCTTTCTCATGGCATCCAGGGCAGCTAAGGTGGCCTGTTAAAAAAATAAAAAATAAAATACATAAAAAAAAAATAAAAACGGATGTCCCACCTGAGTCTCCTCGGCCAGCGCGGTTTCCTTCTCGGCCAGCAGGCGCTCAATCTCCATCTTGTGCTTCTGCTCCAGGTCGCAAGTAAGCCGCCTATGAGAGGTCTCCATGGCACTCAATCCCTTCTCGCAGAGGGTCTAAAATTTAACAAATTAATATTAGGTATTGGAAAAATTATAACTTAATAAATATACTATATTTGAGAATAAATGTTTAAAATTAAAATAAAAAAAAAATTTTACTTGTTAAGTTAAATTTTCGCCTCAACTGTGATTTAAATTAGTACATATTTTCTAAGAAATTTATGAATAGATTTTTATCTAATCTTTTATTTTTTCTATATATTTATTTATTTTTGTTTTTTATTTATTTTATTTTATTTACGTTAATTTTTGTACTCACCCTTAGCTGCTCAATTTCGGTTTGGTAGCGCTTGCGGAAGCTCTGCTCATCCGCGGCATTGGCGTGCTCGGTGTGGTAGACCTCCCTCAGGCACTCCAGCTGCTTCCCATGCTCCCGCTCCAGGAGCTCCAGTCGCTTCTCGAGTCGCCGGCACCGCTCCTGCTGCCTGCCCAGCTCCTCGCTGAGTTCCCTCCGCTGCTGGAGGAGCAGCTCCTGTTCCTGCTCTTGGTTTGCGCACTTCTCCAAAGCCTGGGCGAGATCCGCCTCCCTTTGCTCCAACAGCTGCTCGCTCCTCTGCAGATCCGTCTCCGTTTGCTGCTGCAGCGCCGAGAGCTTCTCCACGCGCTGCCGGAGATCGCAGCACTTGTGGCAGGCATCCTGCAGGCAGGTGAGCTCCATCTGTTCGCTGACCATCACACAGGTTTCGGCCAGAGCCCGTTCCAGTTGTCTGAGGCCATCTTTCCTATCGTTCATGGGCGAGACGGAGCGCCGTGACCTTTGACCCGCTCGTATCTGCTGCAGCTGGGTGAGACTCTGCTCCAGGCGCTCCTTGCTGCCCAGGAGCACGTGCTCCAGGCTGTGGAGTCTCTGCAGCAGATGGGCATTTAGGGGTGAGGATTGGCTACTGGATTCACTGCTAGAGGATTCCATGGGTGGTGAACCCTCCTTTGTGGTTTCCCTCTGCAGCTCGCTTAACTTGAGTTCTAGTTGCTCTTTTCCCTTCAGGCTCAGCGATCGTCGCCTCTCGGATTTGGCCAACTTTTGCTTCAAGGCCCTCACTTGTCTTTCAGAACTACTATACTTCAAAGTCAAATCCTGAATCCGAGCTGCCATCAGCTGAAGCTGAGCTCCATCCTCGTGCTGCCGCCTCTCCAGCTTCTGCTGCAGTGCAGCCTGTGCCAGTTCCAAGGCATCATATTGATTTTGCGACTGTTTGAGTTCCCTCTTCATAGCTCGTATCTCATTCACGGCCTTCTCAAACCGCGATCTCAGTTCGTTATACTCCTCGGCCAGGGAATCCCTCTGCAGGCAATAGGGATCGATGTCGCTAATGGTGGTCAGATCGCTGAGGGAGTCCATTCGCTTGATTTTGTGACGCTGCAGGTTGCTCAGGGGAGTTGAACCACCACTGCTGCCCTGGAGTTCCCTTAACCTCTTGTAGAGTCCTTCGTTCTCCTCAATACCCTGTGCTAAACGATCCTCCAGCTGCTTGATTTGCCCGTGACTTTCGGTCAGCTGGAGTCCTAGGTTATGCATTAAATCAGAGGCACTCTGCTTGGCCTGGCTGAGTTCGCTGTTCAGCTGCTGCTGTTGCTCCTGAAGTCTAGCAGTCAACTGCTGTTCGGTTCTTTGAAGGGTGGCTAGAAGTTCAGACATTCGAGCCTCCCTCAGAGAAGCCTCTGCCCTTAACGTTTCACATTGCTGCTTGAGTTCCCTGCTTTCGGTTGGCAGTTCCTCTGGCAGAGCAACCAGGAGGGGCAACTCATCACTGGCCACACTGTCCACGGTGCTGCGTCGCGAACTTGGCGGCGAACTGCGACTCCTCTTGTGCAAACTGGCCAGGCTGCGATTGCGCAGGCAACTCCGGAGGACAGGGGGTGATGGGGACAAGGGAGATCCCCAGTCCAAGCTATCTCTTCTACCTCCCTCCGAAGCCGTTCTATACTCCTCATCCGAGGAGAAATGGGGACCTGCGGGGGTTCCTGGAGTAGCAGGACTCGTTGCCGTGGGCTGTTGCAACTGCGCCTTGATAAAGTCCTGCTCGATATCCGTCTGCTTGGGTGGCGTACTATCCACCTGGGGTAAACCCGCTGCACTCCTCAGCACAGCCAACCAACTGTTCCTCGAACTCGGCGACAGACTGGCCAAAACCAAACGCTGTTTGTCCCAAGTGGTCAGCTGAAAGGCGTGCTGTTTACTGGCCGAAGGTTCCGCCACCACGGATGTCAAGCTATTCACATCCAGGACTCCGTCAAGAACTCCTCGCTCCTCACATAAAGGATCGCGGTAGTAGAAAAGTGCAGCTCCACTCAAAGTAAACCAATGTTTGGACCAATCGCCCGTTCGATTGTCCTGCTTCATCAGCCAACCCTTCTTGGCATTCAGCGATTCCTCGGCTGCCGCTTTAACCGGCGGTTTGCCTTGACCGGAGGTTGTCTTACCGGTCGCTTTTCCCACCGATCGGAGCTCATCCGTTTTGGCCATGTAATTAACGCACAGCTCATCCAAGTTGCATCCACCATCGGGATCACCACGTTCATGTTGATAGTGTTTGGGGGATTTAAGATGCAACTGCAGCCTGGCAGTGGGCTTCGTTTTCTCACCCTGCTCCATAACCGTGGGTATCTTCTTGACTATGGCCGAAACAATCGCCGGCGTGGAATTGGAGGCCAGGGGCAGTGATTTGGGTCGCTCGTTGGTGGGATTTTGGGACTTGCTATTCGAGGACACCACCTGGAAGTCCGTCTCGTCCCGCGATGAATTCACTTGGCTGTACTGGCTGTGATGGCTGAAGTGATGCTGGTTGTTCAAAGCATTGTTGACCGCCGTGGACCAGCGCTTGTTCTGCTGCTGACTCAGATTCGTAATCGTGTTGGCAATGTCCTTGATCGTCTTCTCGTCGCGACGAATGTCCTCGATCAGCAGGCAGGTGGTGGGCTGGGAAACTGAAAAAAGTAATAGGGATATAAATATTAAAGCTCTTGAGAAATAAAAAGTGTTACTTTTAAAATAAAAAAAAAAAATAATGTTTCCTTTTCGATTTCTCAATGTCTATTTACATTTTTTCATTAGGTTCAATTGCTGTTTTCAAAATATCATAGTATAGATGGTAGAATATTATGTTAGGATTCATTTAACTGAACATTCCTAACTAGAGATTATGTTCTAGTTAGATTTGTCATTAAGAATATTCCGTTTTCTCAATGTCAAGTTAAATTTTATTCATTCAGTTTAATTGTTGTTTCGAAAAAATGTGGAATGTAGGATTCATTTGACTGAAAATTCTTAACTAGAGGTTATGTTCTGGTTAGATTTATCATTGTGAATATGTATTCGTTTTTACAAACAATTAAACTTTATGTTAACTTCTGACAAAGAAAGAAAGATTAAAAAGTAACCGCCATCAAGGCACAAAGAGAAGATCATTTAGGCAGATAATCAGGCAATTAGACGTAAACGAGCTTGGCGGTGATCAAGGATCGTAAATTGTCCATCTGCCTTAGCCCAAAACAAACCTCGGCCAGCAATCTACGCATTCTTCTCTTATAATTGGCTCAACGTCTTCATTAAATACTTTGAAATATGAGCATGTCGGTAATTTCTTTTGGCCAGCTGTCTGGGATCTTGGCTAAGCAAACCATATCAATGGCATTGACTGAAATTAACTTAGACAGAGGATCGTGAGGATGGTGGATTGGGATTGAGAACTGAGGACCTACTACTCCACCCCTAACAATATTTATGCCCAACATAGGGCCGTAAAACGCGGCAAAGGGCCCAAGTTATGTGCGCGCAAATATAATAAAATTATTAAAACGGGCACAACAACTTGGTAAGGGGATACGAGGGATCGCGATAAGGCTGACCAACCAGAGATCCCGGCAGAGTGCCATAATTTTATTAACACCCAAACTCTAAGGAGACGAACCAGAAAGGCAAGCTCCGCGATGTCCCATAAAATATGTGATTACAAAATATATATATTTAGACCTGTTCCAGCCAGCCGCCACATTTAGGTTTATTATGATTATGATACAAATTTCCGACTGGCCATAAAGTCGAGCGAAGGTACTGAACCCTAAACCTGAATGTGAACCCAAGAGTCTTCGCTTTCTGAGTGCGCATCAATTCGGTCAGTCGAACAGGTTGGTCTCTCTCGGCGTTTATCTTGATTATTGAGCTGTTGCGAAAAGCGAAAGGAGGTGGACCAGCAGCCTCTGAACCCCAGCTAAAGATCGGAATGGGTATGGGATCCAGCTGAAAACCCTGACAGAAACAGAGCCACTCTGACTGACTGACTCACCGAGCAGGTTCAAGGTTACTGTGCTAACTGCCAGTTAAAGGGGAGTCTACGGGTTACGGGAATTACCTTAGTCGATGCTTGATGGTCGATGGGCATGGGGTATGGCTTTAATTGGTCGACTTGTCGGCCCATCGACTCAAAAGACTCAAAGGGGCTAACCAAAGTGGACCCGGCGACGCTACGTCGATTAGGGTTTGGTGCCCGATCCCCGGGACTATGTCAGCAATGGAATTTATAATGCTTGTGATATTACACATAGCCCGAGAGGAAGGACAGCAGGACAATGGTGCTCTACTCCCTGAATGGGGTTCATTATGTTTATAGTGCGGCGATCAGAGATCCTCTGAAATATGAGTTTGGTTCGGGTTCGAGATGTTAAGTATACTAAAGATCACTAAAGGATTTTTAAGAAATATTAGATGAAACATAATTTTATTACAAAGGTATCAGGGTGTTTGTTTTTATGTTAAGTATTCTTCAGCCACATAAATAAAAGAAAATAATAATTTTAAAACATCCTAAAATATATACTATTCTATATTTCATCCCATAAAAATTATTGAAAAATCCAATTAAATATAAAATATAAAAGTGTCATAGCAAAAACCCTTAAGCATAGACAAATATGTGTGCCATAAATCACATTTTCTCAACAACCTCAAAAACAAACTAAAAACCATAAAGTTTATTAAAAAATCCCTGGGGCGTGGGTAATAAAAATTGCCTCTTATACTTTTAAGGGCTTACATGACAAGTTTACAGGTCATCACTCATTCGATTCTCAGATGCCTCTGCAAACTACTGGCCCATAAAACCATCCCCACTCGCTGCTTTATTATCTGTGGCTCTTTGTTTCGCTTCTTCAGCCTGCCCTTGATGTGTTTTGCACCATTTAATATTTATTGTGGCTTTTACTACGCGCTTTCAAGTTCAAGATCAAATCAGAGACGCTGTGTTCTCTGTCCAGAGTGGGGCAAAATGGCAAAAAGGCAAGGAAAAAAAAGTAAAGGTGCTAAGTGTAATTAAGTTGATAAAAACAGTGTTCGCAGATACATGGGGCTGGCACAAGTGGCTTGATGCCGCCCGTTGATGCAGAGAGCCCTATAATTATGGTTTCCTTCCCTTGCAGATGAAAAACCCTCGAGATCAGACAATGTATATAGGATCCTCAAAGGGGTATAGAGATTTTTGGAATTGTCTCTCTGGTGGCGACTGCTTTTTCATTTCTTTAATTAACAGCATTTGATTAATTATGGCCACAATTAAGCGCACTCAGAATAACCCGCTCAATCATGGCCTTCTGGCTTCCTGCAAATAACTGCCGATATTCCCCTGACTTTGCCGTATGAAGCTCCTCCCCAGACGTAATAAATAATCAAATTGCAAGTTGATTTACCTGCCCGTCGCTCTCTGCCTTTTGGGCGAACGAAAGCGAAAATTGCCTTTGGATTGGAATCGCTCCCGCCCGACCGTCCGTTAAAAAAGCCTGCCCTCCAGCCCGAGGCTCCCCTCACACGATGACTTTGAAAAATTTCTAACTGGCCAAGAAAAAATATATATATAAGACCCTGCCAGACCGGACCCCAGGTTGTTGCATAAATTTTGCTCGCAAGTCGTTACACTTATGAATATTGATTGGTTATAGGTGATGGTAGCTTCTACAGCTCCAAAGTTCTCTGCAGTTCTCTCGAGTCTCGTAAATCGCACAACCTGCATCGTTAGCTGGCGAGACGCCTCCTCGACCATCCAATGCTGTCATTTTGCATTTGCACAGAAGTTGTCCGGCCTCAATGGATCTGAAGATCGGGGGACCTGAGGATATGGGGACCTGGAACCCGGGTCCTAACCACGTTTGTTAACATGCTTTTTCTGTGTGGCTCATAATGGGGGCTCCTCAATAGAAAGATAATGAATTCACCGCCAAACTAATGGAACTCTCTCTCTTTCGAACGTCCTTTAGTATTCTACAAAGTTGCAAAGGGTTGTAATTAGCGATTGATATAGTATGAAGGTTAGGCAGCGATAACAACGCTTGGCAGATAGTTCAAATGCGAGTTCTATGTTAAACATACACTGGGAGAAAAAATTCTGTAACTATTAAAGTTGGACAAAATCGTTATAATATATGAAAGACATTAGGTATATTTATTTTTGGGATTTTATTAAGATTAGAGATATCAAGAATGTAAATTTAAAATAATTTATTTCAATTTTGAAAGCCTTTTTTAAATTGTATTATTATATAATATTATTTATTTATGAATATATTATGTGATAATTATTCATCCCTTTTATAGAGATTATAGATATCAAGCACAAAGAATAAATTAAATACCATTTGTTAAAAAATTTATTGATAAATTTTTTTTCTACTTTTTCTGCAAATTTTTATTAACTTTCGTTCAGTGCATCTGATTAATGGAATGTGCAGCTACTTTGTTGCAATCATAAGTAGTTACTTCTGCCCGTCTTCTTGTCCTGTATAATTTGTCATTGTATTACAATCTTGCACTTAATTCTTGTGAAACGCCAACTTCTTTGGAAACTTGTTCGGTTCGCTTGTAATGGGCCCATGGGCTGATGCTTTGATTGTTGGCCTGGGATTTGTCTGGGGATTTTATATTTTTTTCGGGGCGTTTAATCGCTGGTTTTGTTGGGGAAGTTGTGAAGCTGCATTTCGTCACCTCTGCTGTTGAAATTTCTAAACTAATCCACAGAGGGCCTGCTTTCCACACACACTCCAGTCACCAGCAGTCACCGAGATTTATTTGCACTGTAATTATTCACTTTGCCGTGAAACTTTGCCCATTACAAGTCCCTAGTGTGGAGAGAGACTCCAGATGTCCAGAGGGGCTATCATGTAGCGCTGACTTGGAAAATATTTCAACTGGCCCCGGTCCCTGACATTGGCCTGCCGACGGCTATTAGGTGTAGACAGTTTATAATCTTTGTCGTTGTGCATTTTAAGAGCTTTTCCTGCCTACCATCCCATCCGCAGCTAGCTGCAAACACCCATTCAGAAAGTGCTCGCCCAATGAATTGCCTCATTTGCCGCACAATTTTGCTTATTGATGGAATGTAATTAGTCTGTGTCAGCACCAGTGAGCGAAATGCCCTAGAGTCCCGAGTTCCTAGTCCTACCTGGTAACTGATCTCGGTCTCTTGAGGTTTTCCAGACTTTCGGACCTCCAGAGCCTCCATTACTAGCCAACGGTGCATCGCTAATCGAAAAAGGTGGCAAATGTGAGTGTGAAAACTGACCACTAGAGTGGCTTTGGCACCAGAAGCGGTACTTTCCGCAGGTAAATGCAATAATGAAATGCATTCTGCACAACTATTATTATTACAATTTGTCATGAGTAAAAAAATGGGTACATTTGTAGTTCTTGCCTGACTGCAGTTTATTGTAGACGATGTATCCGGCTCGAGGGACCAACAATTAGTATTTGAAAATATTTGTTATTTTTATTTTATTGCAAAAGCCAAGATTTTTTATTTTAAATTTTCGAATCATTTTCTAGTTAATTTTCGCTTTCCATTTCGTGAACAATTCAAACTGGTTCACGTATTTAACTGGCGATTTATCAACGGAATAATGCCATTTGATGTGGATGCTGAGCCTTGAATTTGCAAGCATAGTTATAAGGAGGGAGTTCGGATCTGGATCTCTTTGGGTCCCAACCGTGATGGCACAACACAACGGATCTGAGGGCAGACACACTATAATTTAAGCGTGAATATCATTTTTCCATGAACAAGTATCCTGCAGCAATGTATGTGAGAACATTCACAGTAACTGCAATTACCGACCCACCGAACCAAGCGATCCTCACAGCGGACGAACTGGAGAGTCTGCTGGGATCTAAAGAAAATTTATGAAGCCTACCATTATACGATCTTAAGTAGTGGCGGGGATTCCTTCTCAGCCTTCTCGGCCAGCTTCACGTTTGTCCCTGTCTTTGTGTGTGAATTCAAGGTTAATTTCGTGGCTGCGGCTTTAACTAGCTGCACGCACTGCCCTCCATCTTCATCTCCATCAGCTCCACTTCTCTTTTCCCTGTGCAATCCCTCAGTCCCTTGGACTCTCCGTCTCGGGACGAGGTTGATAATTTTGATTGCTGCAAGCCATAAATGATCATAAAAATTATAGCAGCCGATACGAGCTGAAGCGAAGCCAACTCTACGCTCCTTTATTCAAGGGAACAGGAACGCGGCAGGCGGAACTGAGTTCGCGAAAAAGGGTTCAGAATTCAGAGCAAAAGATAACGAAACTTGAAAGGCATTTTCTTCAAAAAAGTAAAAGTCAGTTTCATCGGCTTTATGGCCTAAAGATTAATGAGTTTTGCGCCCTACAACTTATCACTGGGATGAGTGGAAAATTACTTGAATTATTATAGGGTTTATTAACTGAATCATAAATTCTTAGAGATTATTCTAACAAAAAATTTACCAGTTTTATTGCACGTTAGTATTTCTATGGAAATATAAAGTTAATCAATCAATCATTTCATAATTATTATATTTCTAGAAAGAATATTCCCCAAAAGCTTTCTGTCATCACAAGGTTTGTGATTTTGCTAAGCTCTAGTTTACCTGATAAACTTTTGGGGTCATTAAATTAATATTTTAATGAAAAATGGGATTGAAAAAATATAGTTTAAATGAAAAAAATTATTTTATTAAATTAAATTATTATATTAAGATAAACTCACCCCGATTTGTGATCTCGTTGCCGGCATTCCGATTGTTCTCGTCCTGGCCGCCAAGGCTGACAGTCTTTGACTTCCTGGACACCGACGTCTCATCCTCCTCGTCCTCCTCGTCGACATCCTCGCCGGTTTCCACTCCATCGTCCTCCTCGTCGTCGGCGAGAGGCGATTGCGTGGTGTTCAGTGGCGATCCACCTGTTTTCGTGGAACTCGGTCCCAGATCCAGCGAGCTCAACAGGTTTCCCGCCGACTGCGAGGACGTGAGGGTGTCCTTGTGGTAGGAGCTGTGCCGATTGCCCAACTTGGTAGATAGCGTTAAATCGCCATTACTCGACTGACGCAGACTGCCCACCACTTGACCACCGGGCAGCGTGGCACTCCTCTTGTGGCGACCCTTCGACTTGGGGAAGGCCGCCAGGATGTTGAGCCACCACTGGGACTCCTCTGAGCTGGTGCCCTTCACAAAGGTCACGCGCTCGGGGGCGGTTATGGCGATGGAGTTGGGGTGACCCGTCACCTCCACGGCGCCCGTCACCTCCAGCACTTTGGTCATGTCGACGCTCGCCTGCGGTATTGTTTCGGGCTAAAGATGGGAAATTTAATAATTTTATTAGTTTTAAAGGTTTAAATTATTTTATTAATTTTTTAGATTAAACAAATAAACTGATCAATAAAACTTAGTAAAATTTCATAAGATTTATAAATATTATTCGATACCATTATCTAATTTTTGGAATTTTAAACATTATAAATAAGAAAATATTAAACTTAATAGTTATTGTTTTTAGAAAAGTCAATAAATGTTTTAAATTAAATTCTTTTGTTTATATCCTAATAAATTTATATTATAATATATATAATATTTTAAATTGGGGATTGTGACACATATCAAAGGGTTTGTTATTGAAATTTTATGATTTCGTAAGCATGATAAGTTTATTATTTATTTAAAAAGCTTGTAAGCATGATAAGTTTATTATTTATTCAAAAAGCTTGCCGAAATAAATCAATCTAATGGCAATTAAAAATCCCCTCCAATTCCGCCACTTTATAAATAATCTGCTGATTAAACACTGGCAAAGTTCTTAGTTTTGTACACTTTTATAGTCTACCGATAACGTATACTCAGTAAGCACTTATATGGTTTCAAGAGCAAGGCCATAATTAGAACCTTTCCCTTTGCATCATAAAATATTTAACGAGCTCTCTTATCTTTTAATTCTTGACCTCACCACCTATAATAGTGTTGTATTCTTTCTACATTTTCTTGTTATCATTTAAGAATCACTTGGGCAATAGTGAAAAATTGCATAATTTTTATTGATAGTAAATAAATATTATTCTTTCCAAGTGTTAAGTAATCTAAGATTGCAAAAATGTTCAAAGTAATACTTACATAATCATCAACCGAATACGTCAGCTCGCCATCGTCATAGAGAACAAACCATCTTCTCTGCCAGCGCTAGAAATGAAAAATAAACAAAATATTTATTATAAATTAATGATAAAAAGTAAAAGCGTCATAACATAGGTAATAAATTAAATTCTCCAATCCTCTTTTCACTTTTAGCCACCTCAAAACGTTAACATGCCTTTGTTATTTATTCCTCACTTAGTCGTAGGTCGAAGTTTATCGCGATCGCTTGATCTCATCACTCTAGAACAAATTTGCATTGTCGCTTGCAATTTGCAAATATGAAGGGCGGGGGTAAATAATGTTCAACGCCCCCGACAGAAATCATAATTCCTTTATAATTCGTTCTTTCATATATTTTCTGGCGTTGTCATTCCCATGAAAGGTAACCAAGCCCCGAACGCCTTCGCACTGATTCGATGTGGATCTGGATGTGAATCGGAGTCTGAGAATCTGGATCTGATTCTGATTGTTATTGTTGGTTGCCAGAATCATAACAAACGTGCAACAGCCACAAGGGCATGGGTATAGGAATAGCTATAGGACTCAACGTGTGTCTGATATTTATGCAAATTGCTAAAAGTCAAAGCAAATTAAGCTCAACCTTCAGCGAAGATGACGTTGAATTCTGTTGCCCCATTGCGTTGCAAGTTGTAGGTTGCTAGTTGCCAGTTGCAACTCCCCAAAGTTGATTTCTCCTCAGGTGAGAGAGGCAGTGAGTGTGGAGTGCTGAGGTGTGTCGAACGTTTTATTTATAAGACCCAGAAGAAGGGAACTCGCACACGAATAATCAAGCCCCAGCACCATTTTTCACTTTACGCTCTAGTTCTTTATATTTTTCGTATTTCTTTTTTCACTTTGTCCTTTTTTCGCGATTGAATTCATAAATATTGAATCGAATCTATTGGATGTTTGAGACCACAAGAATGTAGGGTTTAATGAAGTGAGAGGTAACGATATCTTTCACATCTGATGAGCTTTCTTTCGGGTGATCAGAATTTGTGAGGGCAATAAAAACAAATTGGCAGTGATTTAAAAGAATATTACAAGTCAAAGGTTTTGAATTTAAAGGAATAGAAATTTATTTTATTACTAAAGGGTTAACAAGAAACCTAAATTCATAGAATGTAACCCATTAGAATATTTAAATTTCTAATTGTTATGGAAAATAATATCATAGAACCGTTGTGCGGTTTTCTCATAGTAAAGAAACCTGATCCGCTCGATGGGAAAGATTCTCTGCACTCAATTACGTCAAACCAGGTTGATTTCCTCCTTTTCGCCGAGACGAGAGATTGGCAAGAGTCAAATGGGTCAGGCAGTGGAATAGTAAATTAGATTATTTTGCATCGAGTTGCAATGGAAACCGCGCCCCAAATATGCATGTAGAACGCATGGCCCCCTCCAGAACCCTTTTTCATCACATTTCCCACATTCGCCGTAGTGTGGTAGTGTGGAATACTTGAGGTAATCAGCTTAAAGCCAGGGCGTTTAGAAGCCCCAGTTTCGTTTCAATAGGCAGACACAGACACTCGCAGCGGGAAGACAATGCCAGTGGCTTAATTAGCCCGCCGAACGACATCTCAATGTTGGGCGAGCGCATACTTATGGGCATGACTGTGTGAGAGCTCTGGTGTAAATCGGTTTTGACAGGTACGCCGTTGGCGTCATTACCCCCGCAGAGGTTGAATGTCACCGGCAGCATGACTTGGGGGCCAAGCCGATAAGACTCACACTGCCCACTGTACAGTGCACACGGAAAAAAATTCAATATCTTCCAGAAAAAAATTAAAATTAAAAATTACAATGTTTATGGTAAATACATTTTGTAATTCAATAAGAATTAATTTTAGATTTTTAATACTTTTTCAGTGAATATTACGTTTAAATCCCTTAAATTTAATTTATAATTTTCTAATTGTAAGGAATTTAAAAAAAAAAGTTTCAATAAATTATTACCAAAACAGAATTTTATTTTAAGAAATGTCAGCATCAAAAGCTTTCCCAAACTAACTATAGAAAATAACAAATGAATTTATAAATAAGTTCTCTTGACGTAGGTGAAAAATAAAATAAACAAAATAAAGTTTTTGTTTATTTACTTATTTGCTATGTTTGCAAAGGCCACGCGCCAATTAAATTGTCATATTTTTCACTCAGTGTAGCCAATAAAAATAAATAGTCGACGGGTTTCGATTTGCCCCTCTAAGCAGTGCGAAGATGTTAGGCACGTCTGCTGATAAGGAAAACTGTAGCCCCAGACTAGGCCAGACCATATTAAATTAACGTCTAGAGGGGCGAACAGTCATACGATGTTGTTTATACGTATGTATTGACTTCCCGGTTCCCCAGTTGCCAGTTGCCCAGTAGAGCAACTCGTTCTACCTTAGTGGGTCAATGTGGAAAATGAGTTATTGATTGTGGGAAAATTTCGAGCTGAAAATCCTTATCAGTGGCCGAATTTTTCCTAACATGCTTTCTCCAAGTGACCATGCGTGGTTTGTGTGATAACGTTGAGAGCGACCCCCAAAGATTATCAATTAAAACACTTAATATAAATAAAATTAATTAAAATAAGCAAAGTAAAAATAGATTCAGCTTTTATTGAAAAATTAAACGTCCGCATAAAGCTTTCAGAGATCCAAGCCATATAAGTCGTGACTTCTGTATAGATTCTAGCCCACAAAGTGGGTGAAAATATACACAAGTAAATAAATTTTCACAACAATAAACGGGCTCAAGTTTTTTATGCAAATTGAAAGCTTATTTCTTCCGCATGCTTATCTCTTTCGCTCCCATCACACGTGCCAATTGCTATTGCAATAGCCTCCTCCCTCATCCAATTTAACCCCTTGAGTACTTTATATGGGACTATATCTTGGATTAATTTGAAAAGGTTTTCTATAGAAAACCTTAAAAGCTTATCTAAGTAAATTTTAAAATTTTTCAATTTTATAAATACAAATATTTATAAACACTAAACAATAAGATAATAATAACAATAAGTGATAGTTAATTGTCGGTTAATATCCAGTTAAACGTATTTTATATTTATTTAAAGCTTAAAATTACCACATTTTATATTCATTTATTCATTCCAAATCCAGCAATACTTTTTTTTAATATATATAAAGAGTCAGATATTTTCTTTAGCTTTAGGCTTTTTTCCTTTTGTTATCCAAGAATGGGTTAACTTTTGAGAGCTGCACTTGAAACCGCTATTTCAGCTCGGCTACGAAGTGGGCTTGGTCGCAGCAGCGGACAAGTGAGATTGCTAATGAGTTTGTTTTAGGGGGCGTGTTGTGCTTGCTTTCCTACTTTTCTAGATTGATTCTACGCTGCCTCCAGCTATACTAAATATATACACCCCACCCCACACCCACCCAACCCCTTCGAATCCCTCGCGCTCACTATCTAAGTTACACGTATGCAAATTAAGCCGAAGTTCAATTGCGACCACAGCAACAACACAGGCTGGGATCTTTCTACACTTCTGCTAGCCATGCTTGACATTCACAAGGTTAAAGCTCTTACTGTTCTGTTTCGCGGGCTATGCACTGAAAACAATCATGTGTCTCTATTTTTGATTTTATAATTTATTTATTGCTTTATAGGATCTTTTATCATTGCTTTTTATATTATTAACAAAAAAATGTAATAACAGAATATTAATTACCTTTTATTCAATTGTCTTTTAAATTGTCTAAAAAATTATTAAAATGAATCCTGAATACGTGTCCAGTATTTTATTTTATGTACGAGAATTTTCTTGCATTAGAATATTATTATTTAATTTCCAGTGCACTTTTGTTTGCTCCATTTTCTATTGGGCCCTCACCCGGCATTTACTTGCAGATCATTTGTTTGCGTATTTTTATTGCATTTTACATATTACAAATTATTTGAGCGACGCTGCCTCCGTCGCTGTCGACGTCGACTGCAATCGCCCCCACGACGAAACAGTATTTAAGGAGCTGCAAAAGGCGAAGACGCCGATTATTGTCTCAGTGCAGTTGTCAGTTGCAGTTCAGCAGACCGGCTAACGAGTACTTGCATTTCTTCAAATTTACTCAATTGATCAAGTAAGTAATAAAGGGGGAAGCCACTTTAATTTATTTTAAGAATTGGAATAATATAAGATTATTTATTCTGAATACATCTAAAATGTATTTAATAATTGAGAATAATACAAAATAATATTCATTCTGAATACTTTTAAATTGCACTTAATAATTGAGAATAATGCTGTTACTGTCTGTGTAAACCCAATAAATTGATAATCAAATCTACATTTTGGAGGCCGGCGTCTCGCTCTCGAATTTTCCTTGGAAAATCACCTGTTAGTTAACTTCTAAAATTAGATTATTTTAACATAACCCGCCCCTGTTAACCGGCGCCGTGCCTTCGTTAGCTATCTCGAAAACCGAGGCGCGTGCAGACCAGCAGTAATTTTCCAAACATCAGACGTAGTGCGGCATAAATATCAAAACATATACAAACAAGAATACTAATCAAGCAAAAGCTTTGCCGGCACCAGATCCCAAACAAAAACAAACCCAAAGTGTGCCGAAAAAAAAACAGAAGAAATAATAAAAATAAACCATAAACTAGGCAGCGTAACGTAACGTAGTCGCGTAGAGATCGCGTAACGATAGAGATAATAAAAAAAGCTTAGCGTAACGGAAAGATCTTCCTATAAATACGGGGCCGTAACGAACTGGAAGCCTAACAACTAACGGAGCCCTCTTCCCATCGAAACACACAGATCGAAAGAGCCAACATGTCGACTACTTTGACCAACAAGAACGTGATTTTCGTTGCCGGTCTGGGAGGTATTGGCCTGGACACCAGCAAGGAGCTGGTCAAGAGGGACTTGAAGGTATAGTCTATAGAGAATCCTTAAAGGGTAAAATTATAATTTACAAAAATGTCTAACCCACTAGAACCTGGTCATCCTCGACCGCATTGACAACCCGGCTGCCATTGCCGAGCTGAAGGCAATCAATCCCAAGGTGACCGTCACCTTCTATCCCTACGATGTCACCGTTCCCATCGCCGAGACCACCAAGCTGCTGAAGACCATTTTCGCCAAGCTGAAGACCATCGACATCCTGATCAACGGAGCTGGAATCCTGGATGATCACCAGATCGAGCGCACCATTGCCGTGAACTACACGGGATTGGTCAACACCACCACTGCCATTCTGGACTTCTGGGACAAGCGTAAGGGTGGACCAGGTGGTATCATCTGCAACATTGGATCCGTGACGGGTTTCAATGCCATCTACCAGGTGCCTGTGTACTCCGGCACCAAGGCCGCCGTGGTCAACTTCACCAGCTCCCTGGCGGTAGGTCCTTCGAAGAAATCACCTCAAATATATCTTATAAAATCCCTTTAACCTCTAGAAACTCGCTCCCATCACTGGAGTGACCGCCTATACCGTCAATCCCGGCATCACCCGCACCACTCTGGTGCACAAGTTCAACTCCTGGCTGGATGTGGAGCCCCAGGTCGCCGAGAAGCTGCTGGACCATCCCACCCAGCCCTCTTTGGCCTGTGCCGAGAACTTCGTCAAGGCCATCGAGCTGAACCAGAACGGTGCCATCTGGAAACTCGACTTGGGCACTCTGGAGGCCATCCAGTGGACCAAGCACTGGGACTCGGGCATCTAAACAAAACGTGATACTACCCAGAAAAACCAACACACATAACATTAGTACTAGATATTCATGGATGGCTATAAGTCTGATTCGATGCACACTCACATTCTTTTCCCTATAATACGATAATAATAAAACTCACCAAAAATGAAAATTGAGAAATCCAAGAGATAAGCTAGTGGGCCTAATTAAAATAGGTAAATGGGAGTGGCAGTCAGTCGTAAAACAGAAGTCGTGGAAAGCGGAAAGAAAGAATATGTTCGATTTGACGGGCAAGCATGTCTGCTATGTGGCGGATTGCGGAGGAATTGCACTGGAGACCAGCAAGGTTCTCATGACCAAGAACATAGCGGTGAGTGGTTGGGTTTTTTTTAACCAGATCGAACTCAAAACTAGTTCAGCCCGAGAGTCGCTGTCGAAACTAATTAAGTTAATGAGTTTTTCATGTTCGTTTCGCGCGCTGCTACCAATTTTATTTTTCAGATTGGCATAGATTTTACCAAGGGATTTAGCACTTAAAAGTGTAAAATAATTAAAATATTTTGATTTTATATTAGGGTTTTAAAAATGGCTATCCAACAAAGTCTATTTTCGATACTATTTCTTATCAAAACTTTTATAGAAGTGGCGATATTAACCCACCCATGAAGTATATTTTTTATAGCAAGATAAACCATTTTTTGTTTAAGTATTCTAACAGCTAGTCTTTTTTATTTCTTATCAATATAATTTATAGAATTCTCTTTATTGCAATAGTATATTTTCTATAACAATGGTTATCGTAAGATAAACCATATATTGTTTAAATGTTTGTTCTCCTTTTCTTAAAAAGCTTTCATAAAAAAATAAATGGAATGGTTAATAAACAACAAATGAATTTAACTTCTTAAAAATCATTAAAAAAATTAAAATTACAAGCTTTAACTAAAGTTGTTTTTCCCTTAGAAACTTGCTATATTGCAGAGTGTAGAGAACCCCCAGGCCATCGCTCAGCTTCAGTCGATAAAGCCGAGCACCCAGATATTTTTCTGGACCTTCGACGTGACCATGGCCAGGGAGGAGATGAAGAAGTACTTCGACGAGGTGATGGTCCAAATGGACTACATCGATGTATTGATCAATGGAGCCACCTTGTGCGATGAGAATAACATCGATGCTACCATCAATACAAATCTAACTGGAATGATGAACACTGTGGCCACGGTTTTGCCCTATATGGATAGAAAAATGGGTGGATCTGGTGGACTTATTGTGAATGTTACCTCGGTCATTGGATTGGACCCTTCGCCAGTGTTCTGCGCCTATAGTGCCTCGAAATTCGGAGTAATCGGGTTTACCAGAAGTCTAGCGGTGAGATCTATAAAAAATCAATAACTTTCTGATCCCTAACTTGGTGTAATATCTTCTTTAGGACCCCCTCTACTATTCCCAAAATGGAGTCGCTGTAATGGCAGTTTGTTGTGGTCCCACCAGAGTTTTTGTGGATCGGGAACTGAAGGCCTTTCTGGAATATGGACAATCCTTTGCCGATCGCCTGCGTCGAGCTCCCTGCCAATCGACCTCGGTTTGTGGCCAGAACATTGTGAGTGCCATCGAGAGATCGGAGAACGGTCAGATATGGATTGCCGATAAGGGAGGACTGGAGTTGATAAAATTGCACTGGTACTGGCATATGGCCGATCAGTTTGTGCACTATATGCAGAGCAACGATGAGGAGGACCAAGATTGAGAATGTCGAATCAAATAAAACAACGAATTACGCCAAAAGTAGGCAATTCATTTTGTTGTACTCGTAATAATAGACCTGGGTCATAAATGGGGTGGGTGTGAATGAATATGAGTGATGATGGCGGTGTGCCCAAAAGTATGCAGGGAATTTCAATGGTAACTATAATTAGACGTCTTTATTAAGGTGGTTGGGGATACCTATTAAAAGATTTTGAGAAGTAAATAAGTGTAGTGGGGAAAATACATAAAACTAAAGGGAATTTTTGATGATCTAGTGATTATACTTTTCACATTTTTTGATCAATTGCTTTCATTTATATTTTCTCCTTTCAACCTTTGATCTAAATTGCAAATTTAAAGTCAAGACCAACTACTCAAGACTTTTTCGCCCGTCAATATCCTCAGCATTTTCGTGCACATTTCTAGACCGTCGTCTCTAGTGCATCTCAACTATGCGAATGCAGTCGAAATTTTGCTAGAGCAATGCCGTGCATTGAACTTTGGCACATTTCCAAACGCACAGCCAGGCAGCCAGCCAACCGAAGGAAATCCAATCGGGCGACCGAGAATTGAATGCGAAAACAAACAAATCTGCCGACACATTGCCCAGGAAAATGGGAGTGAGGGGCGATAGATGTACAGAGAGAAAAAAACAAGGTAAGTGTTAAAATTATCAACTTGATTTAAGTATATTTATTACTGATTGAGAGCCAAGAAATAAAATATTTCTGAAATTTTTTTAATATTTGTTGATTTCGTAATTCTCTTAATATTACCTCCTGGATTAAAATTTTTTTGTTACTGATATTTATTTATGCTAAGAAATGGCAATCATCTATACTTTTCCTATACCATTTTTTCTCTGGGTGTAGATATATGCCAACTATATAGTAGGGTGAACATTGTGGGCTTGCCGCCTTGGCATACTTCCAATTCGTGTGCGTTGTCTTCCCAGTCTTCTAGCCGGGGCCACTTGGATCGTAAAAAAATCAATAGCCAGCAGACCAAAGAGAGCCACAATGCCATCGGACATTATTGAGGACCCAACGCAGCGGAATGGAAGCAATGGAATCTGGCCAGACCATATCAAAGCATTTTTCCAGAGTGTTCCCCCCTCTGCTGCCATCCAGCAAGTTTGCTTTCCTTTCCACGGCGCAACTTAATTCCAAAAATCGATTAGTCACTGTAAGCGAACCATGCAATTGTCCAGCATTTTTCATTTATAACTCCTTTTTTTCGTTTAATTTTTGCTCGTTTCTTCCCCTTTTATTTTCTTATTTTTTGGCACACGCTTGATTAATTTGGTCGGCTGCCCGGGAGTCGAAAAAAAGGGGGGAGGACATTTAAAAATGCAGGAAGTAATCGATTGGCTAGGGCACAATAGCCAAAATGGGAGAGGCCACGGAGCGCAAAAAATGTTGGGGTAGGTTGGCTAAAAGGAAAATCTAGCAACCTAGCGATACAAGAAAAAATGCTATAGATAATAAATATTCTTGGTAGGTAATTGACCAATCAAATAATTATTTTTGACACGGATTTCTATAGCTTACAATTATTACTTATCTGTTTATCGCACAGAACTTATTTTAATGGATTAATAGATTGTAAAAAATGTGCTGGCATGCTAATTACATCTATAGATTTTTGAAAAATGTTTCCTATATTATATTTAATTATATTTATTTTTAAGAGTATCTAAGCCTCGACGAGTTCTAGTATTTTTTTTTACCACCGTAGATCGAACAAAAACATGCGACCGACCGGTTGCCGGCAGTAGGTGGAGATTAATCAACAAAAAAATGTACGGAAAAATGGAGAGAAAAAAATAACTGATGCTTTTTAAATGGCAATACGTGCCAGGTATTTTACTAATTAACCTGACGGATGCACGCCACCGCCGAAGAAGATTGTGATTATGCAACTGCATGGATCGCATCAGCCAGCTGTCTGTCTATAGGCGTTGTGAGATAATAAAGCTCCGATTCGATGGGGAGTTGTATGTACCAAAACACTGATAATGTACTCATTATGGAACGTAATGGTTAAAAAATTAAAGGTAATTAACCCAAGGGTTATCCAACTAAACAGGATGTCTGATTGTTCCTTCAAATGTTCCGCTCTGATAGAAGATATAATTATGATCTAATAAAAAAACAAAATACCTATAGATATTACTTGACCTTAATTTTTTGAAATGCCACAGGAAGCATTTTATTAGTTCTAAATTTTTTCACTGCCGATTCTCTGATCTACTTCCCCCCGGGCAGAGTTCACCAATCTCAACTCGTTCGGTAAGACAAAAAGAAACTCATAAACACATGTTAGATATGAGAACAAATCCGCTCTGAAACTCTGAAAAGCCAGGTCCCATTTGTATGGCCGCCTCGTAGACTCCATAACTGCAGAGATTTAAACCGAGAGGCCCGAGACCGGAGTCTCTGAGTTTGGAGCGGCGCATAAAGATTATCTATGGCCGCACATGGCACCAGGCGGTCAGACAAGATTATATGCGAAATGCGAAGTCAAATAACAAGTGTTACTCAAGGCAGCAAATTAATAGCCAACATTTTTCTAAACTAATCACGACAAGTGCTCCGGGTTTGGAACTGACACAGAAACTCAAACAGCCGGCTCAAAAGGCGAAAAACTTGGCCAACTGGCGGCCGAAAAATACGAAAAAGACAGATAGATCAGAGCGGTGGGGCTTAAATGCCAGAAAATGCAGTAAGCGAAAAATAAACATGAAGAAAAATGACAGGCGAAAAACGTTATTTGCCCTCCGGGGGTCGTCGCAACCGAACCACTCTGGATTTAGGACCATGGAACTCCATTCCCGATTCAGGAGTGGAGCAGAACTTGAGCCCCTGATCTGAGATTCCGACACGTGCCGACTGCGACAATGGGTCCATAACAATGGAGCTGGAGTACAAATAGCAAAACATTTTGTAAATTTGCGTCCATTGACACTTTGAATGATACAGATCTCTCGCTGCTCTCGATCTTCGGTTCTCATTTCTGATGGAGGTGGTGGGTCACCCTGTTAAACCGGGAGGGCCACCTAGCCGGCAGATTGGCCCACGCAAAGTTCTCAATCCCCATTCCTCCCCAGTTTAGCCCCCTTCTGAACCTCACTCACGGTACCCATTTCAGCCTTGAGGCAGCAACCACTTTGTATGTACAAGAGACGAATGTGAAATGATGTCGTTGCACTGCGAAAAGAAGGATCCTCGAAAAGAGGTTCCAATATTTTTGAAAAACATTTTTAAAAATTGTATTCATTTCATCATGAAAATATTTCTATAAGTAATAAATGTAAAATAAAAATGTAACCGAATTAAAAAAAATAGGAATTTGAATTCATTTTTTAAATAAATAAATATATTGAAGATTTAAAAGTCTTTTTGATTCTATTTATATCATTAAATTTTTATATCAACTGATTTATTAAGTAAACTTTTATATAATTTAAATGCATTTTATCAAAACTATTTTTATCAACAAAAAAAAAAAGAGTTTAAACAAATATTAAATAAATAAATAATAAATACTAAAGTCTTATTAATTCTACATTTTTTAAAATGAGTTCAATAGATATTTTGTTTTGATAATATTTGATAACATTTCTTCAAGAATTGTTTGCATTTTGGAATATTCCGCAGTGTAAAAATAAGCAATATTCTCAGAGAGGTGGTCGCAAAGGGTGGTGGCCGAAAGGGGGATGGGGATGGGGTAACCCGGGACCGGTCCTGGGTGCATGTAACACAATCAGGAAGTAATTTTTATGCTATGTACCCATAGCATGTGTCGCCGTCATCGTCGACGTAGCTGATGTTGCTGCTGTCGCTGTTGATTTTGCCCAGTTTGTTGGTGTTGCCCCAGCCAACCGAAGTGGATGGGGAAGTGGATGTGGATGTGGATGCGAGTGATCTGGCCAGTCAGTGGAGACAGTCGCTCAGGCAGCCGAGAAGTTGGCAAGTTGAGCTGGGTTCTGAACTCAATGCCGAAGATTGTCGGGGGAATTGCATTCCCTTCTCCCTTTTGGGAGTCGAAATCGGGGGAACTGGGGGCACGGCATTGATTGCCAAGATGATGATGATGACGACGAGATGATGTGAGGCAATCGCTGAATCAATCTTGGCCAGTAGTTCAACGTTTACTGTTATTAGTTGCTGGAACATTGCATTTTGATCTTTCCCAATATGGTTTGCTCTTCGTATTTCAATAGAAAGAAGCCTGGGGCTATGAAATGGGTGTGCACTGGCAATAGAGTTTGGGTTTATATGTTAACAAAATATTAATATATTTTGGCACTATATTTTTGTCAGCATTAAAAAGGGAAATATTTGAAAATTTATTTATAAATTCATATTTTTTATTGAATTTTTTGGAATAAAATATGATGTACATTATAGTCAGTTAAGGATTTAAAAATCTTTGGTTCGCAATATTTAAGATTCAATATTCAATATTTGATAAATAAATAACATACAAAATAAAACACTTTTAGTTACTTTAGTTAAAAGGCAAAAGCCTTTTTAAAAATATAGACATTTTTACCGAGAATTTCCAGAGACCCAGTTAATTATGATACTTTAATAACCAGAAAATGAAAATGAAATCGAAACCACTCGGGCTGAACCGTCCAATCAACAACTCTATCTAAATAACAAGTATCTCGAGTGCAATTTAAGTTGCCCCACGAAAGACCTGCGAAATGGGAAACTAACGGAAAAACAACGAATTGTGAAATAATTTGGCAATTTCAAAATTGATGGCAAGCTCAAAATTGCGGCAATAGAAATCGATTAGCGCCACGCTTCAGCTGACCAACAAGAAAAGCATTTTGGACAACAAAAGAAGCCAAAAATAAAATTAAGTTATCGACAATGGGGAAAATGTTCGGTAGTACTAGTGAACTGGACTCGTGCGGAATGCGTTTGGGTTTCCCTCTCCCTCTCTCCCGGGAAAACTCATTCAGCCATTAAATGCCGTTATCTGCTGATTACACAATAAAAGCACAACCACAAAACAGCAAAGAAGCA